GCCCTAGAAGGAGAATCTAGGTCTGACTCAAGAACAGAAATGGAGGAAGAGTGTGGTTCACATGGGCCTTCAAGTCCTACAAGAGAGCAAGAGCCAGGAGACTGGGCTGTGGTTTGGCAAACACTGTCTCATCTCAGCACCTGAGTTACTCATTGAGCGAGAGGAGAAAGAGACCAGAATTATTCTTCCAGGAGAGTGTTCTCTTGGAGAGTAGAGCAGAATCTTTTCTCTCCATGAAAACTTGAAGAATGAAGTGATAAGCAGCTCCTCCTACTTTAAAACTTAAAATCAATATAGTATTCCACTACCATAAGATATCTTGAAATATTTTTGTGTGCCCATTTTTTTCCTTTCTGCGTGTTCCAGCTCTAGACTAGGGTGGGCAAATTCTGGCCTTTTGCCTTTTTTGGGGACAGTCTATGAGCTGAGAATGGTTTTTACATTTTTAAATGTTTTAAAAAAAAACAAGAATGATATATTAGGACATATGAAAATTACAGGAAATTCAAATTTCAGTATCCATAAAGTTTTATTGGAACACACCACCCTTATTTATCTCCTTTCTGTGGCTGCTGTTACACCTGAATGGTAGAGCTGAGCTGTCACCACAGAAACCCTCTGATCCTCAAATCCAAAGTGTTTGCTATCCAGCCTTTTACAGGAAATGTTTGCTGAGCCCTGCTGTAGATAGTGCAAATAGCCATATTATTTCATGGAAAATTAGGATTGTTGTAATAGTAGGAATGTTAAGAGTGGTGTGTTGGTATCTGGTATGTATGTTTATTTTCAAGTAAGTTTTTGAGAATGACAAGGAAAGGGGAATCAGACATAGGCTTTATGTCATTATGGTGATGGAGAACAGAACAAAGCCGATAATTTAATTCCCCCCTTCTTGCCCTGGAGAAACTAGAAAAGGTCCTTTGGAACTTCTGAGAGTGAGGACTTGGTGGTAAGAGGTGGGCTGGGAGTCTGGAGGAGAAGGTCAGACAGGGAGGAACTGTTATGCCAGGGTCACCATCAAGTGGCTGAGCAGCCTTACCCCCACCATCAGGAGGCCCTCTACCCAGCTGAAATTCATAGATTCAACTACCATGGAATAAAGGAGAAGGCCCGATGGAGGAAATCAGCTGTCTCAGTGTACTCCACCTCTCTGGCACCTTCAACTTGAAAATCCAATTGACATTCCATCTTTAAAAATGAAGTAAACATAAGCAAGGCAAAACATATGCAATCCCCTCTCCAGACCAAATCTGATCTCCAGTTCCCATTTCTTTGCTCTCTGAAACAGGGAACATCTCGAAAGGGCTCTCCCCATGTGCCGTCACCACTTCCTCAGCTATTTGTCCTTCAAAACACTCCCATCTCCTCTCGACGCCCCCAGTCTACCAGAATAGCTAAGGTACTTATGACCTCCACATGAATAGATCTAGTGGGTACTTCTCGGTGTTTCTCTTCTGGGTCTGCACATGTTGGATGACTCTGTCTTCCAGCACTCCCTTCTCTCTGCTTCTCTGGCACCTCAGTTTTGGCTGTTCTTTCCTGCCTCCCCCATCCCTTCTGTTCCTTCTCAGCCCCTCGAAACACTGACTTCCTGTAGATGCTGCAAACACAAGGTGATGAGGTGACGTGTGCTCTTCACCCATTATCTGATATTATTGAGGGATGGAAGGACCTTGGTTTTACAAGCTACCTGCTAACTCAGCCAAGCATCAGTGGAGGATTCAAGATGCAAAGCAGGTACTCTGGGCTGAAAAGCAAAATCATGGTTCTGGTCTTAGCTTCAAATAGCATCAAAAACCCTAGATCCTATTTGTGACACTCAGTTCCCAGTATTGCCCCTTGTTAGGATGGCCTTCCCGCTTTATGCTCTTTCCCCTTAGAACACTCAACTCTGACATAAGCAACCTGCAATATACTTGCATGTTGCCCTTGGTGAGGGTGGGAGAGGGAGCTTCCTCTTAGCCAAGACAGTTAATTTCAGCCTTTATCACCTAAAAGTATGTGAAGTCATTGTCTAACATAAGGACATATCTCATAACTGGGCCTCCTGCCCGCCTGGCTCAGAGCCTTGTTATTTCCCTTATCTTTCTTGTCTTGCTTAAATCTAAGCTAAGAGGCAAGGCAAGTATATTATTTTCTGTAACAGTTTTCTTCTTTTTTAGTGTTTTTCTCTTAAAAATATCTCTTATCTGTTCCTCCCTTGTGACACTGTATGCAATGTTACCAGTAGCCAATAATGGACTTTCTTTTTGCTTTTTATCTGCTGGGAAGCTCCAGCCAAAGCAAACCTCCTGCTTTAACTTTCATGTGCTAAAGTAGACACTTCAGCTACTCAAAGATGCAGGGAAATCACTGGGGCTGAGGTATATAGGTCCCACCTCACTGCACGGGAGAGTTGGCTGCTTTCCAAGTCCTGTGCAGGTGTGAGTATGGGCAGGGCTGGTGACCTTCTAGAACTTGCCAGACCTGTTGTATCCTTTATGTTGAAATCTTGTTTGTCCCTCTCACCATTTCTTTGGATTGAAAATATTCAAATTCTTATTTTCATTTACTGCGGTCAGAATTTAATGCGCACGTTCTGGAGGGAGTGGGGAGTAAAATCAGATTCTGGAGCTGGGCTTTAGTATCTTAGCAGCTAAGAAAGGGAGGAGGAAGCCAGGAAGTAGAGCATTTAATCATATGACAACATGACCCTGAGACAGGTACTGTTATCATCCCCAGTTTCCAGGAAACCGAGGCTTAGAGAGATTAAATGATTGATCAGTGGAATCAAGACTTGGGACTTGTTTCCAGGCCATGCTGTCAAAATTCCAATGTATGCCTTTCTCTGTCCACCTTCCATTGTGAAAGTCTTGCCAGCTAGAGACAGGCCTATAAAATGTCAAGCTTTCTGCCAATTTAAGGAATAGTTATAGATATCAGGGTGCTGCATAAACCTTTGAGAGTGTGTGCCCCAGGGACTGGACATCATTGAAAAGGTGGGAAATGTGGCATTCCAGTGTCTACCAAGAACATAATGAGTAACGTTAATACAAGCAAACAAAAAGGGTCTTTTCTGTAGTCCTTGGCTGGGTAAGAAAATAGCTCAAGTTGTTATAAATGACTAAAGAGGTGGTCTGATTCCTTAGCTTACAAATGAAGCTTTGGTTTTCTGTCCTTGGACAGACAGATCCGTACCACTATAGTATGAAGGCATACATGAAGAGTGTGGATGGGAAGTTGGTGATTTGAGGAAAATGAGAAAGTTGTGCTATGGACAGCACAAAAACCAAATGATTAGGGAAACACAGTTAATATTGTGAGACAATATTGGATTTATAGGACCATTATTCTATTTCCATACTTACATATTATTTGGGATAAGTAACTTCAGCTGCTTTAAGAAACAGTCCTAAAATACCAGTCACTTAACCCAATATGGATTTACCTTTGGCTCTTGTCACTGTCCAGTGTGGGTCTGTGGTGAAAGAGCAGTGAGAGGGACACAGGTAGACAGAGGTTCTATCACCTTTAGCTCATGACTCCTTGAATTGCCTGGATGTTGAAATCGGGCAGCAGGTGGGGGTGTGGTTGTGGGTGGGAAGAGAGAGAGAGAGGTGATCCAGGCTTGGAAGCAGTTTTCATGAAATCCTGGGCCTGGAATAGTGCCTGCTGCTACTGCTCAGATTCCCTTGGCAAGAAGTGGGGCAAGGAGGAGGCCTGGGGAGTCTGTGGGCCAAAGAAGGAGAGGAGAACAGGGATCCTGCAGAGTACTATAGCCTCTCTTGCTGTGTGTAACCCTTCAGTACCAGGGCTAATTAAACTTACCTTGACATTCCTTCGTTGCGTTCTCTCACCTGCTCTGTGCTGTCACTTTCTTTACCCATAGAAGCTCAGAGACTGTGTGGAATTGTTGAATGATTTAGTGCTAGAGCTCAGATGAGAATGCAGGCTTTCTAATTTTTAGTCCGGTCTTCTTTTACCACCTGTATTTACTGGACTCAGATTGTAGGAGATGACTCTTTGGCGAAGGGAGAGGTCATTGTGGGCCGGGGTGATCAAAAAAGGCTCCAGAGGGGCGCCTGGGTGGCTCAGTGGGTTAAGCCTCTGCCTTCTGCTCAGGTCATGATCTCAGGGTCCTGGGATCGAGGCCCACATCGGGCTCTCTGCTCAGCGGGGAGCCTGCTTTCTACTTTCTCTCTCTATGCCTGCCTCTCTGCATACTTGTGATCGCTCTCTCTCTGTTTCAAATAAATAAATAAAATCTAAAAAAAAAAAAAAAAAGGCTCCAGAGGAATTTAGTGCCTGAAGTGGGTCTTATAATTTGTATAGGATTTGGATGGGCCAAGCAGAGGCCAAGCAGCACATTTCAGGCAAGTTTGAAAACATAGATTTGGTCTCAGGCAATAAGCACATTCATTTATTTCAATTTATATCCTTTTACTGATTAAAAGAACTTTATTAAAAATTTTAAAAGATAACACATTTGCATGGCTCAAAATTCAAAAGGTACAAAAGGTTATAAAATGAAAACAAATCAGTGCCCCATCCCTGTCTCCTGTCCCCATGAGCTCCCCTTCTCAGAGGCAAGCATTATTACCAGGTTCTTTGGTGTCTTTCCAGAGATCTTCTATGCATATAAAAATAAATACTTGGATTGCCTGTCTCCTAACAATGTCACCGTAGCAAATCATTATATTTGGTAATAAGATCAGATACAAAATGATATTTCAGAGTTGTTTTAGTTTGTGCTTTTTCTTTTTATAAGTAAAGTTGATCATTTCATATTTAGGGCCATCCATATATTCTTTTATTGGAACCCTTTGCCCATTTTTCTGTTGGATTATTATTCTGTTGGTATTATTGATTTCTAGAAATTTTTTCCATGTTAGAGAAATTAAGCATTTGTCACTAATACGAGTATCAGTTTTTTTTCCAGTTTGTCGTTTCCTTCATGGTAGATTTTTCAATGCAGAATCTCAATTTTTCCATTGTTAAAATTTTGATCTTTTCTTTTATAGATTATGAGTTTGGGGCATACCTAGAAAGATCTTCCATCCTCCAAGATCTCTTTCACCAAAGTCCTGTGCTTGCTTCTTCTGAAGGGAGGAAAAAGAGACCATGGCCACTGGATCCGGACCCAGACCCACCAGCAACACTGCCACCTCCAGCCATTCCCGGCGCCACAGAATACAGAAAACTTTGATCCCCTGTGTCATGGGGTCAGACCAGGGGCCTTGCTTATAGGAGTCTAAAGGCCTTATTGGAATACAGAGATTCACTTCTGATCTAGGGGGAAAAATAAGATAAGGGGAATCCTGTGATAAGGAAGATCTGCTCGCTATTCTGGGAACGTTTTTGGGTCAGCTTGACCCAGAACCAGGCATTCCTACATCTCCTGAGAGCCCAGTGATCTTGTCCACACCCACAGCCTCACGTACTTCTTGTGTGTTGATGAGTTCCAGATTTATATCTCCAGTCCCTACCTCTGAGCACAGGTATCTCTAACTTAATTATCTCTAAAATGGAATTTGGGATCGTTTTTCCTGAATTTGATACTGCTCCAGTCTTCCCAGCGAGGGATTAGGTGTCTCAATCTACGTAATTATTTGTACTAGAGACTTGAAGTCATCTTTGGCATTCATCTTGCTTATCTCCAGATTTTATTCACCACCAAATCACATCTATTTCTCCTCCAAAATGTATCCTAAATCCTGCTGCTGATCACCTCTGCAGCTACTATCTTAGCCAAAACTGTGTTATCTGTTGCGTAGATGGTTTCAGGTTAATCCTAATGGGTTTCCCCACATCCACCCTTGCCCCCAGTCCCATAGTCTACTTTCCATAGCTGACTCTGTCCAAGTCTGCCTTCTCCTTCCCTCCTTGCCTGCTTTTCATGTTGCACCATGCTGGATGGTTATGGAGTTCTCTCAACGGCCGGGCCCTCTGGGCATTGTGTATATCAGTTCCTTTTTCAAATACCTTCCTATCCTTTGACCCTCTGGCAGAGGTTCACTTCTGTTGTGAACATACCTCTGGCATACTCCTGGCATAATACCTCTGGTATTATTACATAACATACTCTGGCATAATACCTCTGGCAAACTCCTACTTATCCTTTGCATCTCAGCCCAAATGCCCCTTTGGTGTTGCTGTCCCTGCATGCAAACCCCCAAGCGGCCATTTAGGTGATTCCCAACACAACTAGAGGCTCATTTAATGCTTGTTTGAATGAATAGATGAATGGGATAAAGACCAAGGAGGGCAGGGCTGGCTCGTGCTGGGGTCTGGAAGAAAGGGAGAATGGAAGAATCAGCACCAGGGCTTGGTGGAATCCTGGGTCTGGGGAGTGCTCGGCCTTTGTATGGCCAGACCGTGATATGACAGAGGCCTTGTCTGTGACGGGTCTGTGTGTGCATATGAGGTGACACATATGTGTGTGGCCTGGTGTTGGGGAGCCAGCAGAAGTGAGCTCCAGGTGGCAATGGGTAGGCGGCCTTGCTATGGAATCTGGTCTTCTCAGGCCAGAGCTCCTGGGATGGGATTAATTGACACTGCAGAGCCAAATCTCCTCATGAGACCAGGGCACAGCTGTGGCCACATCAGAAGCAGGGACCAGGAGCAACAGCAAAAAAAGAAGGAAAGTCCTGGGGAGATCGGGGGGAGATCAGGGGGAGGGAGGAAGATAGATGGGGGAACCGGATGGGACTGGCCTGGCTTTTAGGGATGCAAGAGCTCCCCAAAATGCCTCTCCATATGTCCACAGGGTTCTGAGTAAGGGTCTCTAGTTACTGAGGTGCAGAGGGTCCTGAATGAGGGTCTCTGGGAGTCATAAGCTATAGATCTGGTCGTTGAATGGCCTGAGCGTAAGGCCACGTCATGCAGGGGGCCTAAGTGAGAGGCCCTGGTCACTGTGGGACCTGAGTGAGGTGTTCCGGTCACTGAAGCCCAAGTGAAGGTTTCTGGTCATTATGGGGTCTGAGTGAAAGCCCTGGTTACTGGGGACAGGAATTAGGGGCTGAGTGAAGGGCTTGATCCCAGGGACCCGGGGGCCATGGCTAGTAGTGGCATGAGCAGATCATTGCAGTCATAGTGAAGGTCTTGGTAGCTGGGCTCTTGAGAGGGAGGCCACTCCATTAATCCTGAACTGAGATGCTTGGAGAAGCCTTCGCAGTGCCTGCAGGTGGCCCAGCACACTGGATGTTCTGGGTCTGACCAGCATGGCTCACAGCAGCCAGCAGATGGCACTGTGACCCCATGCAGCTGGTGAGCAGTCCTTGGGGTGAAGCTTAGCTAGACAGGCTCAGGGGAGCCTCCACCAGCTTTGGGAGCCGCAAAGCCTAGAGGCTTGGGGGGTGTTAGGTGGATTCCAGCCAAACTCCCTGGGGTGATGGCCCCAGGCTGATCCCCTGGAAGCAGAGAATTCTGTGCTGAGTTAGGAGTCCTGTGTCTGTTTCTTACCCCAGGAGCCGGGACAGGCTCAATCAATAGTTCTGGAACACAGAACAAGAACCTGAAATCTGGCCCAACACACCCAGATGCCCTTTCACCTGTGGGTTGGTTCAGCTGTCCCAGTCCACCGATCCAGGACAAATTAGGATCCGCCCTGAACATTAGAGCGATTGTTTCGCAGAACATCCGGCGCCCTGTGAAACCCAGAGAGAACTGGAGTCCGTTCCTTGCTGCAGCCAGAACTTGGTGCACCCCGGCCACATTGCAGGGTCCAGTCACATTCTAGAACCATGTCACATGTCAGGACTTTGTTGTACCTCAACAGAGTTGTGCTCTGTACTGTACTGTTGTACTCTGTACAGTCACAGAGCGGGGCTTGTCATTCTTTGAATAAAGGCACATCCTAGGACCCTGTCAACAACCAAGAGCCTGTCCTGTCACTACTTCCTAGGGTCCTGTCACAGCCTGTGCTTGGCCTTGAGCTGTGACAGTGCTGGGTATATGACTGAGCCCTGAAATGTGCCAGAATTTGAGTGATACAGTGCTAGGCTGTGACTGTAGCCACAGTCTATGTACAGTAACTGGTCCACACACTTGCACCTGTGAGTTTGGGCATTATCAGCAAGTGTCCATTTATTTATTTATTTTTAAAAGATTTTATCTATTTACTTGAGAGAAAGAGAGCAAGCAAGAGAGGGAGGGCACAAACTGGGGGAGAGGGGCAGAGGGAGAGAGAGAGAAGCAGACTCCCCATTGAGCAGAGAGCCCAAAGTGGGGCTCGATCCCAGGACCCCGGGATCATGACCTGAGCCAAAGGCAGCCGCTTCACTGATTGAGCCACCCAGGTGCCCTTAGCAAGTGTTTGTGATCAGCATTCGTACAGATCATGGTGACAAGTGCTGTGGGAGATACAGATAAAGCAGTTCTCTTCCGGCTGTCTGTGGGGAAAGACCAGTTTTATTTTTAAAATTTCCGTTTTGGATCCATTGCAGACTGACACTTTTGTAAAATTCAGTTAAATTGCTCAAAAAATGAAATTGAAGAAAAAACATACAAAACAGAAGCCCATATTTTAAAAAATACAAGTTTCATTTTGGAATAATTTTAGATTTACAGAAAAGTTGCCAAGAGAGCGGAGATGCTGTATAGCCTGCCCTGAGCTTCCCCTAACATCACCATTGTAGATAACCAGGGTACATTTATCAAAATAAACGAATTAACTTCAGTATAGTACAATTAACTGAACTACGGACTCTTCAGATTTTAGCGGTTTTCGCTGCTAATGTCCTTTTTCTGTTTCAGGATCCAAACCAGTGCTCTACCGACTGCATTTAGTGCACTTCTTATTATTGAATTCAAATCACATAATCATTCAGTCAAATCGTTATACAAGTTTCTAAGCTCTTACTCTTAATTTCTGAACTTATCTCATCATGGACAGATACAAAGAATTTGTGGCCTGGTTCTGGTCCTCAGGCCACACCTTGAATAGCACTGGTCTGAAGAACAGTGACTATATTTACAGTGGCACAGCAGGGGAGTGAGAAGGCTAGGAGGCGACTGCCATGAAGTTAGAGCACAGGGTACGAAGGAAGATGGTGGCCGTATGGGTGGGCCTTGGGCGTGGCCTGCTCAGAATGAAATGGTGGGAACAGGAAGGTTTTGGGAAAGAAGTCCCAAAAGATTCCCGGGAAGGCTGCAGTTCTGCATTTGTGTGTGTGGTGCACTGAAGCTTCCGTGTAAGTATCTGCAACAAGCAGCAGGCGGTGAGGACTAACTACGTGGGAGCTCACTGAGCTCCTAATGTGTCTGGGTGGAGAACATAGGACTTGAAAAGACAGTCATGGGTATGGGCCCAGAGATTCTAGGGTCTGACGCAGGCCCCTGCCAGTTTGTGGACTCTGGTGAGTCTGCACAGTGTTAGGAAGACTTAGGTGTAGGATCGTATGACAGGAGAACAGGAAACACAAAGGTCCAGGGATAGCAGTGTTCCCCCCTACCCTCAGGAAGGAAGACACCAGGACAAGGTGGCTATGCCCGTGCTTCAGGGCCTCCCTTCATCCTGAATATGTTGGGGAGCAGGTGGGTAATGTAAACACCTAGAGCATTTGTCTCCCTGTGTGGGCAGTGGAGTAAATAATAGAACCTCTGGGAAGGTTCTGAGAACAAAATGAGAACCACACGGAAATGTTGTCATGACACCCGTAGGGAGCTAGAGCTCTTCCCCATCCCCTTGCCCCTCACCTCCCGCTCAGGACAGCCAGCCAGAGTCATCAATTTCCGTCTTCATCTCTTCCTTTTCCACTAGGAGCTGGAATCAAGGTATCTGGTAGGGGTGGTCTGGCCCGGGTCCCCTTGCATCCCAGATTCTGCCAGCCTCCTACTCTGCATTCGTGCCGCTCATCTCCTGGGTGTTAGGAGGAAACCTCAGGGGGGCCTTCGCTGTGCCTTCCCTCCATCACCTCTAAGATACACTGGTTTCTGCTGAACGCTTTCCACAGTTCATCATCGTTGCTTATTTGATCATGGGAACAATGATGGCAGAAACCATGCCTGTCTTATCCTCCACTTGGTTTCCAGCACCCAGCAAGTTCATGGACCATCGTCGACACCTAACCAATACTTGCTGAATGAAAAATTGGAAGGAAAATATGTGACTTCTTTACTTAAATAGTTTCAAGTGTAGTTAACAGAGAGAAATACCAAATGTACCATCAAGTGTCAAAATGATGGTTGCTTGGAACTGGAAAGTTTGCTTGGAGAAAAGAAATAGATGATAAAGGTAGAATCAGGAATTACTGGTAAAGGAGAAGATTTAGTCTGTGCATGGTCTGGGGAAACCAGCTACCAACAAAGAAAAAAATAACCGACATCTTTTCCTCACATTGTATACCACGAACTTTCCAGATGAACCGAGGAGCTTTAAAAACCTTGGAAACACTGAACTATTTATCACGTCTCTGGAAGGAAGTAGGTTTCCATCTTAGAAGCAACAGAAGCAGTTAGCAAGGAGAAGGTTAACTGACTGGACTGTAGAAGTATTTTAAACTTTTGCATGTTAAAAAAAAAAAGTAAAAGGCAACCCAAATAAAAAGGGCAAACAAACCAGGGAAATATTTGCAGTCAACTGCCACAAGAACTTCCATAAATTTATTTTAAAAGAATACACGGAGACCCCAGTGAATAAACAGGCAGAGTATATAGCATATAGTTTCCAAAAGAGAAAAGACAGAAGGATGCTTAAGATTAAGGATGCTTAATTTTAATAAGCATAAGGAAGAAGAGGTTCATGGTAGCCAAAGGAGTCAGGGAAAATTCCACAGGGGAGGTGGAGTGCGGGCTCATTCTCACCGATATGGACTGACCAAGATGGAGGGAAGAGATGCCACGCATTTGGGTGGCCTTTCCTGCTTGCTAGACTCTCCTGGCTTCCCTCCAAATTTGCAAGGCTTTTGCAGCCTGGAGCTGGTTGGTCCCCCTTAGTGTCTCTCCAGCCACCATCATCCATCTGTAATGGAAACAGCTTTTCTTCATGAGGACAAACCACGCGGAAGCTTGGGGAGGTCTGGCAGAGGGGTGTTCTGGAAGAATGCTCTGGCCATGAGGGTAGGGAGCTAGCTAAGGACCCTGACTCCCCTGTCCCACCTTCCCACAAACTTGGGGTTTTCAGACCTAAAAACCAGCTGCTTGCCCACCCCTACCCCCAACTCCTACCTGGGGTTGAACTGCTCATCTTTTTTTAACAACTCTTTTGGGAAGGTGGGCAAAACTTGGCTTTAATTCCTCCAAGGAGAGCTCAACTAGCAATATCATTTTAGTCTTTTCTTTATATGACTTTTAATAAATATCTTTAAAAAATTATGCAGGCAATACATATTCATGGGAGAAAGTACAAATATAGCCGGCATTTCTGAGAGTTTTTATGAAGAGGAGAGAACAAGAGAAAATGGAAAACAGAAATAGTTCACTACCAGTCAGATGTCCAAGGGCAGCATGCGCGTCCTGTGGTCAGGAGCCGCTGCTCTGCCATGAGGCCTTCCAGGCCCCTGGGCTGCTTCCTCTCCTCCCTGCTCCAGACCTGTGAGGTCTGGGTCCCTCCATTCCTTCACATGGGAGAGGTCTCCAGGACACGAAAGCCTGATTCATCCTTTGCTGCTCCTTTCCGCCGGCCTCCCACTCAGCTGTCTCCCTGGTCTAAGGAACTAGACTCATTATCAGCCATTTGCATCAGCCATTCTCAATCTTTTCTCCTCCCACCACGTGTGATGGATGGCATCCATATTCATACACGCTCTCAAAGGTTAGACCCAATTTTATCGAAACCTGGACAGGATTTTTGCAGGAAATGAAAAAGTCTGTGGTAAAAATAACTGTTACATCTCAATGCGATACGATGACTTGAAATTGGCATGACTTCTGGCGTGTTAGCAGTCTGCCCACTCCTGGCTACTGTGTGTGTGGCACAGGCTTTGGAGAAGCAATTCCTGAGTCCTGGCTGTGACACCACCCCTTTTTCTTCCGAATTAGTGAGGGTGACATTATTATAAGGATAAGTCACCACCGAGCCTCATGCATATATTTTATAGCGATTATTGTGTTGAATTGTGTATTTCCCCCATTAAACTTTTCCATTAGTTGTTGTATCCCTAGTGCCCAGCACAATGCCTGACATTTATCCGTGCAGACTGATTGAACAGGTGAGGGAAGCCTGCATGCCTCCTACCCCATGTCTAAGAAACCCTGCCTTCCCTTTATGCCTCCCTCCCTACCCAGCTGGTACTACCAGCAGCTCTCGGGGGCTACATTTTCTAAACTTAGTTTTCTTTCGTGTTTGGCTTGTTGGCACTAGTTTATCATGCCAGCCCTGACTTGTTGGCCCTGTTTCCTGGGCTCCTTTACTCATTTTTTTGTCTTTTCCAGTCATCAGGAGTCCTTGAGATATTCTCAAGGACTTTCTTTAGAATGTAAGACTTCTACAACCTTCTCCTTCCCCTAGCAGGAGCTCTAGGTTGGCTCTCCACCTCAATTTTGACTCCTTGACAGTATACTTATGTCTAATCTACTTCTTTTTAATCACCCAGAGCATGTAGCCCTGGCTGAGATATATATATGCTAGGCCTACTCCTTTGCAGCTTATATCATACTGTTCATTAAATAAGTAACTGTGTAGTTTATCTAACATCTGTGTCTCCCATTTGGAGGTAAATCCTACAAGGATAGGTATTCTGACTGTTTTATTCACTGCTGTATCCCCAACATCTAGCACAGGCCCCCGCACATAGAGTTCAATAAAGTTGTGTGATAGGAATGAATGAATGAATGAATGAATGAATGAAGTGAATTGAATGATTGACTCACAGTAATTTTCATAAGCAGGGGATGGTTTTGTTTTTGAAAAGAAGTCGTAATGGTGAAGGATCTGCTTATGAAAGGGGAAAACAAGCCTTGGGGCAGTTGGCAACCTAGAGCAGTGGTTAATGCTTAAGGAGACTCCATGGGCAGTCTGGTCAAGTGCAGGGGAACCTGCTTGGGCCAAAATAGAGGGAACAAAAGGTTCTGGGAGGGCTGGGAATGGGAGTGGGGATGGTGAGTCACAATTTCCTACATCCATCCCACCAGTTTCTTCCATGATCATATTTACTTTGGTCCCTGTACTATGTTCCCAGGTGACCTGGGGTAAAAGTAGAAGTTGGTTTGTTTATCTGTTATACTGTTCATGTGGATTACTGTTTGGCAGCAATGTCTCAAGGAGGGTTATTGCTAATCACTTCTGATGCATGTGGGCTGGGGCAGAGGTGGCCAAAGCTGGCCTTTTGGGAGATTGTACGTGGGATTTACCAATTAGTCCAGCAGGCTCACACTTCCTCATGAGACCTGGGCCCAGCTGTGGCCCCTGTCTGGACATGGGGCCCAGGGACAAAGCAGGAGGCAGAAGTCTTGGAGGCAAGGGGCTTTGGCAGCAGCTTCGGCAGCAGCTTCAGGGACCAGAGGGAAGCAGAAAGGAGATGGGCAGTCTGGAGGGACAGCCTAGCTCTTGTTATGCTCACTAGACCTTAATGAAGTCCCCTCGATCTCTGAGTCCTAAGTGATGGGTACCAGGTCCCTGAGGGAAAGGGGCTGAATCAAAACTTTGAAAGGTCTAAACATGTTAAAGTTTCTGTCTGATCTTCATATGTCATTCAAAGTAAAACAAACCATAGAATAAGTTTAGTTCAGTAATACAATTCAGGTGTATCCTGTGATGGTTAGTTTCATTGATGTTTTTCTGCAAATACCAAATTCACTTTAAAAACTTTTTTTCAGTTTTGGTGGTTCTACTTCAGCAGTGCCATCCCTGAAGAGGGACCTGAGGTAGAGGCCCTGTCACAGAGACCTGAGTGAGAACTGGCTCACTGAGAGGCTGAGTGCAGGGCTAGAGGAATGGAGGGAAAAGCTTGGGTAACTAACTGAGGGTCTAGGTGAGGGTCCTGGTCACTGAGGGGGTTCACCTGGGAGGTCATCACAGGTCTGAGTGAGGGTCCCCAGTCACTGCTGAGGGTGGGGTGTGGTCATCGAGGACCTGAGGAAATGTGCCTCATCACTAAGGCATTTGTCAGTAGCACTGCTTACTGATGGAGCCATCTGGTTACCAAAACCTAAAGGAGAGGCTACTGTCACAATTCTCGAGTACGGTCAACAGGTCCTAAGTGAGAGGTTGTACTCCTTGAGAGAACCAAGGAGGATGTTTGGTTCATGGAGTTAGGGTCTCTACCTTCTGAGGGAACTGTGTGGGTTGGGGGTCCTGGCTTTGAGAGGTTTGAAGAAATAGCTCTGACCTCTGAGATATGGCTGAAGATCTTTCATCAAAGTAAATACAAATAAGGCCTCCATATAGGTGGGGAAAACTGTCCAGAGTGGGGTCCAATAACTGAGTCTATGGCCAGATAAAGCCCGAGGGGCCCTTAATTCTTCCTCCCCTTCCTCCTTCAGCCTGATCTGCAGGTCTTCCAGTCACCAGTAGATGGCACTGCAGCTTCACACAAGGACAGGTCTGCCGGCTTGTGTCCCAAGGTGGGGTCCAGGTGCGAGCAGGTGAGGAAAGAGAGAGGGAATTAGTTGCTCCTCTGACCACATTCCCTGGATGCAGGGAGGAACCGGGCTACCAAGGCCTAAGCAGATCTCCTAAACACTGGCCATTTAGAGTCCAAGTCCTCTTAATCACCAGGCTGATTAAATGCAGTGTGACTTTTTACATTTGATTCATTCATCAATTCAGTTGTTCAGCAGGCCTAGTACCTGATAGAGTTTGTGCTAGGCTCTGAGGGAAGATACAAGGGTGATTAAAGAAGGTTGCTGTTCTTGCAAAATCCATAATCTTGGAGGTGAAACATTAACATAAACAAAATATAATACATGTGATAAGGGCTATAAAGATGTACCCAATGCTGTAGAAATCCAGGGAAGGAAGAAATTTAGGATCCGGGGAGTTGGTGAACATAAAGGAAGAAAGAGGTGACATTGACTCAGGGTCTCAAAGTATGATCCGGGTTTTTGTTTGTGAGACACCAGTGGAGGAAGATTCCCGGAGTAGAAACAAAAGCGTGAATAAAGATGTGGGGTGGGAAGGAGCATGGGTGTTGAGGGATCATTTTGTACCCCAAATGTCTAACAGGGTGGGGATGGGCTGGGAGGGTGGTAAGGAGTAGGGATGACAGATAGACAGGTGGAGGGGGGGATCGTTGAGAACCTTATAGCCCATACTTAGGGATTTGGTAATGGCTGTTTAATGCATGAAGAATCAGGAGGGTTTTCAAGTAGGCAGATGAAATTCAGGGTTCTGTTTAATTTGCTAGTAGCCAAGGTGTGGGGTGTGGGGTGGCTTAGGGGAGGGAGATTGCATACAGGAACCCAGATAGGCAACCAAATTAGAATTTATGAGAGTTAAGTAAAGAAGGAGTTAGGGAGAAGAAAACAGATTTAGAGGTATTTAGGAGGGAGGATGAATAGGATTTTGTGGCAAAGTAGATGTGAAAGGAAGAATGAAGAATTTAGGCAAATAATAAATGTGAATATTTACTGAGCATTTAATATC